GGTGTTGGATGACTGGGCAAGGCTAATAGTTCAATGAAGCCCAACAGGGAAGGGCTCATGGACAACGTTTTGCTCATATTTACTCTGGCTCCTATGGATTTACATTGAACATTTTAGCTTTTACTGTAACTCTTTTATGCTTTTTGATATTTCATGTATTTTTTTCCCCTTGTATTTATTTTTCTTTAGTGTCTTTTCTTTTGCTTGTTGAATTGTTGAATTGAAGGTGCCTTAATAATACAATGTATTATTAATATTATTATTATTATTAACAAAAGTAAACTCCTCTAGCTCAGTAATCGTCTGTATTTGGGTTTAAACAATCCATAATTTAGCACTCTTTATATAATGGTGTTTCCCCTACCACAAAAAACATGTAAAATAGTTCATTAGGTAAATAGAACGTGAGTAGAATAGAGTGTGTGTTTGTGAGTCAGACTCTAGGCCAGCAGATGCAAATTAGTGAAAGGCAACAATCCGTAAGGGTTGGTTCACTAATATGCCCAGTCCCGACCAAATAAACCTTTTTTTTGTTCCAGATATAACAACTGACCAATCAAGGGCTGTTTATCCCCCAGCATTAGCTAACAAGTAGCTTAAATAGAGAGTAGCACAAATGGGGACAGACCAGGAGTTGGTCTATATTGGCTCTATACTCTCCTCATCATTGCTACCCACAAATTTGCAAAAGGCAAAGACTATGGATGACGTCGGCATTCAGGTCATTCATCCACTCCGTCTATGGTCTATGCTCGGAAAGTACGTCAGAATGGTTTTTACAGCTCAAATTCCTGATATCTATGTTTACAAAGTACTGCAGCTAGTCATTTTAATAATGTAAGGAGTATAAAGTACAGATATTTTGATTTAAAAGTCAGGAGTAAAAGTCAAAAACAGAGGCAGTGCTGAAACCAGATAAACAAAACTTTGGCAGCATCAGTGGACAAGTCAAAGAGAATTTGAGCTACAAGAATTTCTCAAATCTTATACCAAACTCTAGAGGTGATATATAGAAATCACATATAATTTGATTCAAAATATATAACCAGATCTATATTTGTAAAACATTATTTAATTGTCAATTACGATAATGTTGATGAGAAAGTTGCCAAAGCTGGATTCATGTCCAGATAAGGTACTTCCTCTGATGAGTTTATCGAGCAATCAACAGATCCACTTTGAGTCCCAGGCCGAGATACCGAGTGTTATATTTCCTGTAATGAAGTGAAGTTGAATGAGATACACCCTTGAGTGAGAACTTGAGTGTGTAATGAGAGAGTTCACTGGGACTGGATTGGGTAAAGAAAGCCAAAAGAAAAAATACAATTTAATCAAGAATTATATAATGTTAAGATTAAGATTAAGATATCCTTTATTTGTCCCACAGCGGGGAAATTTCAGTGTTGCATCACCAGTTACTGAACAGTCGGAATGAGGAGCACACAGCACGAGATAAGTGAACAATTCAACTCTTGAAATTAAACAAAATCTTTAACTCTAGCATCAAAGAAACAAGTATAAAATCTCTATCTTGAACATAATAAAGAAGTATAAAATCTCTAAATTTGCCAAAATAAGAAGCAAGTATAAATTCTAGCGTGAGCAAGTTATGATTAACCATAGACTAATTAAACTCTCTCTTCTAAAACTCACTTAAGGATGATTCATAAAAGTGAGGTCTGAGGACGGCCTGGAGCCAAAACACCCATTAGTATTTGAACACCACGTACAATACATAAGCAAACATCCATCTTCTAATAGACACAAAAGCACTTACTCATAACCAAACTGTGACAAAGTAGAGTGGATTACAAATATAAAAGTTAAACTTAAAGTTGAACAAAGCGAGGAGAAGCATTTTGAATCAGTCAAAGCTTTGCAGAGTTTGAATGTGTTCTGACTTGCAAATACCCTATTATGTTGACATCCCGACTGAGTGGACTCCGGACGTTTCTTTGCTCTGGGCATTTTATGATTGAATAAAACAAACTTAACTGTCATTCAGGGCCAGATTAACACTTTGTTGTACCCTGGGCAACAATATTCAAGGGCCCCATCATCACGACCCCAGGATCACCATAATATGGTCATATATAGGATATATTACTGTAATATACAGTAAATATACTCAATACTTCAAATCCTAACTGTCATTAGGTGTATTTTCATTTACAAATATTTAAAGCTCATAGAACTACGAATGCACTACTATGTCCCCTATCAAAGACATTCACTCACATATGATGCTATGAAAACAAAACACATCAGCATCTGTATAATCTGGTAACATTGACCCACTACATTGAGAGGGAAGGAAGTATCCTCCATTTTCACAAAAAATGAATAGATAAGCAACCACTTTTAAACCATTGTTTATTTAACAACACTTATTCCCAATAGAAATTTATGGAATAGATAGAGCTCTCACAGAAGACCACAGACAACAGATCAAGCAACATTTTGGTCCTCTGCTCATTGAACTTGTTTTAAAATATAACAACATGCTATAGCACAATTAACCAGTCAAACATTTTAGTGCTACATAAATACACTACACAATACTAAATACACAATACAATTTCTCTGAAGAAGACGAGATAAAATACATGGTATATAATCTGGCAAAACACAACATTTTAATCCTAAATAATGAGGAAGTGCATGTTCTTTGTTTTTATCCTTAATCTTTTTAATGCACTGTGACTATTTATGATTTTAGTCCCATCTGTGATTTTAATGTTTAAAGGTTTTTAATTTTTGTGATTTTATTTTTAATGTTTTTAATATATCTTGTGCTCTTAATGTGTTTGATTTATGCATGATGTGATAGGGGATGTGAAGCGCTTTGCGTTGCCTTGTGTAGGAAAGGCGCTATACAAATAAACGTTGATTGATTGATTGATTGATTCTCTGGTGGTATGTGTTTTGTTCCTCGATTACAATGGGAATGATGCCTTCTACTCTTAACAGTTCTGTGATGATGGATAAGTGTGGAATCCTATTGACCCAAACTATTTGAGATCTTGGCACCCAAACTATCCGAGACCTTGGCACACAGAAAATCCTCCTGTGCCACTCAGACAGGCGAGGCTGCCAATAAGTTTACACTTCAATTTCAGAGCCAGAAACCCATTTGGGAGATAATGTTATGGTGTTTGTTGCTCGGTTTGCGGTGGGTTTAATAACTCAGTCTGAGTGTGAGTAACACGACCTCAATGTTCTTTTCTGTCCCTGCTCATTTTCTCACACCTGCTGTAAAGAGCAGCCCTGTCCAAAATGGCTCACAAGTTTCTTCTGCTGTTCATCTTGGCTGACCACAATAGGCGTCCTGTTATCGCTGCGGCGCTGATGTGTCAGTCTGTCTTGTTTCCAAAGAGAATGAGAGGGAGGGGCTTCAGCACTGCAGTCTCATTGAGGTGTGCTATACTCTCCACCTCAGCCCATTCTCCATTTTCTCTATCGCTGTCCGTCTTTCACTGGAGTGTCGTCCTCATATAGCCCCTGTTTTTTTACAAGCCTGAATAAAACTACATATATTTAAAGTGGACCATAATTACTTAATTGCTCAATGTTTCCCTAAAAGATACAGTATCACAGAAAATAGCATGCCCAAATTGTGAAAAGAAGATGCAAACATCAACCAGTCAAAGAAATGGTTGATTTGGAGGACATTCATAGTTATACATTGGGCTGCAGCGAACAATCAGTGGCCGAGTATTCCATAAATTATTCTCCCCGAGAAATAATTGGATATTAAGAAAGGTTTTGATCCATGTTTAAGATGAAATAAGCCTCATATATTTTGGTCAAATGGTTGCACCACTCAGAAATGCAGAAATTAGTTCTGTGCAGACGTTTCACATAGTAACGTCTTAACTAGTTATATATTCACCGATTAATCAAGGCAACAAAATTGTGATCAAAACTTTGTACTAATTACTCGATTCATTGTTTCAGCCCTGGTCCAGCTATTACTTCTTGGAGTTGAGTTTATTGAAGAAAATACCTATTACCGGTTACCATTTAAAACTAATTGACTATTAATTGTTATTGATTTTTTTAATCTTTTTTTTTTTTTTACACAGTATTGACACATCTCCAGTAATAACACCACAACGAGGGCTGGGCAATAAATCGAATGTAGTTTTTGTGAAAAATTTGAAAATTGTGAGATTGAATGTAGGATATTGTGAGAGCATCACATGAATTATACTTACAATATCAACACAGTCTGTGTATTACGTATTGGGGGAAACAAATTAATATTAGTTTTGAAACTTGAATATTGAGCGGAAAGATCAAAAAATATTTTTAAGGGTAAAGTTTGTCTTTGGTGACTTTAATGAAAATTTATTTAAAATCGAAATTGTCCAAAACAGGAAATAAAATCAAGATTTTACTTTTTTGCCATATCGCCCAGCCCTAACCACAACTAAATGAATAGATATTAAATACATCAGTAAATAAACTCCACAGGATATTCACCTGTCAACCCAACAATTACAACGTCAACGTCTGAAGTGCTAATGACCCCCTGTGCTCTCTGAAAAGGCCCTGTCTCATCTCACATCTCATGTTTTCCAACAGGACGCCATCATGAACGCCGGCCTTCCCTAATCCTACCAGCCGGATACAGGACCCCCTGCCTCCTGGGACACCGCACATTTGGCATCAGATTCATGCAGCTCTGCCCCTGATCACTCCCAACACTCTCTCTATTCAGGATTCCCTTTTGCTAGGCAGGATTACCCACTGATCTGCTTTATCACCACAAACTACAAATAGTGTAGACCGGATGAACTTTGCCATTTTGGAAGTTGAAGCCATAGCTCATCCCTCCTGGGCTCAGAAAAAGAGAAAGGATTGAAAGCCATTTTTTGTTTTTTGACATTCTGGAGACGTTTGGCACTTTGTGTGAAGTGCTTTAGTGATATAAAGTGAAGTCTCTTGTTGTTCCCTGAGCTGCTCTGAGGTGAGCGGCGTGTGGTGCAGATGCCGCCATGCCCATCATCAGCAACGCCAACCACGACTTCAGCAACCTTTCAGTTAGCGACGACAGCAGCCTCGACCGCATCTTCACCGAGATCCCAGAGACTGAGACCATCAAGGTAAGTGTTCATGTTGTTTCGTTTCCTACTTGTTTTGATTCATTGTTTGCATTGATTTTTATGTGCACCGCTGCAAGAAACTAATATGCTATACAATTTTATTGACACATTTAATTATTTGTAGTTGTAAGAATACATTGGATTGTTCCAATCATTTGTGATTGTATTTCAGCATATCACAGTGCAAAAATTAAAATGCATTTAGAATCTCTTCCCATGAAAGGATGTTTTCTGGCTTCTAGACAAAATTTGATATATACTGACAAATAAGACAAATAGTTTTTTGTTTCATGTGGATTGGCCCTGGAACTTAGCTCTAAACTGTGGTGGCGACAGGGACTCAGTTGTTAGCATTGGTCTTTGAGCCAAACCCACAACCAAATTGCCATAGGTTCAATCCCCTCGCAGTCCCTGATTAGATTAGTTTAGATTCAACTTTATTTTCATTACAAAATCAGAACAATGCAACAAAATGCGGTTTAGCATCCAACCAGTTTAGCATGGTTAGATGCTTGAAAGACTTAGGCCATCTATGTCACTGACGAAGCAGCCATGCTCCTGTGGAACCACCACCTGCTTTCCATTTACAAGGAGTGTAATGGGTGAAAGACTGGAAGTCTGACGTTTGACTGTTCCCATAGTTACCAGGAACGATTATCCAACTGCCATTAACCTATTTTAAACTTAAGGAAGGTTGAGATGTGTATGAATGAAAACCATACATTGAAAAATGAAACAGCTTCTCACTCATAGCCGTCTATCGCTGATATTCACAAAGCTTTAACACAAACAATACCAAGGAGTCTGTCTATGCATAATACATCAGAAAAGTTCAGTGCTGCTGTTGTTTTCCCACAGGGCGTCTACTATAAAAGAGCTCAGTTCATTCGCCGGCCTGAGGACTTGCTGTCTGTCGACCACGGCGTGTTAGCTGTGATCAATGTTGGGGGAAACCGCTACACCTTCCCCTGGAGCACCCTGGAGCAGTTCCCACTGACGCGCCTTGGTCGTCTGTGCGACTGCCGCTCACCCGAAGACATCGCCAACGTCTGCGATGACTATGACGAAACGCACAAAGAGTTCTTCTTCGATCGGTCGCCCTCCGCCTTCAGGGTCATCCTCAACTTCCTGGCGGCGGGGAAACTGCGCCTGCTCCGGGAGATGTGCGTGCTGTCCCTTCATGACGAGCTGACGTACTGGGGCGTGGAGATGGCCTACATGGAACGCTGCTGTAAGAGGAAGATGTACACTCGAATCGAAGAGACGAACGAGCAGGAGCGCCACGACGAGGAGCTGCGGCAGAGGAGCGTGCTGCAGAGGGTGCCCGTGGTTGAGACGCGCTATCGGAAGGTCATGAACTGGCTCAGGGACATGGTGGAGAACCCGCAGTCAGGCCTCCCCGGCAAGATCTTTGCCTGCATGTCGGTCATCATGGTGGCGGTGACCGTGGTCAGTTTGTGCATCGGGACTATGCCGGATCTGAGAGAGGAGGAGGACCGGGTAAGTGCACGTCAGGTTCAGGTTCAGATTCTGTTTTTTTTGCAATTTGCAGTAAAATCACTTTGGAATACTGTACTTGTACTAAAGTCCCTCAATGTCACTAGACAAGTACATAAATAAAACAAGATAACAAAAAAAAACAGGGCGGCACGTTGGATTGCATCTCTTCTCAGACAGAAGGTCCTGGGTTCTAATCCCGGTCAGAACAGGCTCTAGTTTCCTCTACCACTGAAAACATGTACAATAGGTAAAAATCCTCCAGCTGCGGTTCTGACCAAGCCAAGCATCAACATTTGTAGATGGGTTCCCGGGATAAGTAAAGTGTACCTTTACCTTTAATAAAAGTTTACATAAAGTTAAAGTAAAGTGCAAGATCATTAAAGTGCTTAGTCCAGACTGATAACAGCTTGTGGAAACGCGCCTAACGCACTGACCAAGGATTCATATGTTAAACCCTTGGGAAGTATCTGGAGCGTTAGTGACATACTATTGCGCCACCAGAAATGTCCTTGTTTGGCCAGATTTTTTTATATTATAAATTATAACTAACATTTTGGCTGTAACTTTGAGATTGTTGTGATTACTGATCAACGTTTAGCAATCCCCAGTGAGCGCGACTGCTTTTGTTTTCCCCAACGCCTGCTGTACCTAATGTACCTTACGTACTCTACACAGCGGACGTGTCTTTTCAAATGGAACGGAAAGAAATGATTTGTGAAGTAAATTGCAACTCAAATTTTTTTAATCTGAAACTAAGGACCCCGAGCTGTCATCGATGTTAAGTGGAAAAATACAGTATTCAGAAATGGAGGAAACAACTTCAACGACCCTGACTTCTACTCAGAGTCACTAATCAAGTTCTTATGGTTATAATTTGGAAATATAAAACATGTTATTTTGACATTAAATTACTTGAGTGAAAACTAATTTTTCTTTTCTTATTTTGCATTATCATTCATGATTTCAAAATATGACCAAAAATCCCTGACATTTCAGTACAATATGAAGATGAATTTGATTACTCCTATGTTACTTAATGAATGTTCCTCATAGTGAATAAGTAGGTACTCCGTGTGAGACAAATTTGAGGAGGTAATTCTAAATAAATCACTGGGTGCAAAAGATGTACTGTCGAGAAGAACTTTTACCTGTGTTCTCATTGTGCATCCCAGTACCACTGTTCTGATCCATTTGCACCATTACCACAGTCTACACCCTGTGCTTTACTCAATCTATTTGATGAATGACTTTTTTGGTGTGCTGTCATTTTGACCCAAATGGAAACAAATATGCTGCTTTCCACAATAATCAGCTGCTACGTTGGAACTTTTTTTGATAACATTTACACAGGCTTTACAGCGATACAATTCTTATTATGATTGTTGTTTCAAATTTTCAAAATAAAACCCAATATTACTGAATATACAGTATAGCAGACAAAACCACAACATGTTATTTTATCTATGCTTTTTTAAGGCCAAAAACATACTGTCTCCCTGAATCCATATATTATCTTCATCGCATAGGTAAAAAAGTAAATGAAAAGTGGCATATCTAGTGGCTGTAGCCATATTGGCTCCAAGACTAAATCAATAACCACAATGTGTGACAAAAGAAAGTTATACCCACACAGTCTTATTGAATGACAAACACAAAACGGATATGATAAACACACCAGAGCGACCTCGCAAAATACTAAAAACATTGTAATTGTCTACGTGTCAGGAATGAACCAGACAGAGACGGATCGTGGTGCGCCAAACTCTGGAAGTTTATTTAAGTTTCTCTCAAGTTCCAGTGGTTTCAATTGTTTATTTCTCTCAGACAAAATGGAATCAGTACACAGTTTATATAGTCATTGTCACGTCACACATGGAAAGACATACATGTCACACAGAGACCTGCACATCATAGACAAAATAATCAGAGTCCTTGAATAGTCCTGCACGTAGGCCATATTGCTATCTAATCCTAACATACATTATAATTATGTTAAAGTCTAAAGAACATTGCGCTCTCAAGTTGCAGATATAAGTTATTTATGAACTAATAAATAAACATATTCTGCAAAATTGCTCTTTTCTCGTGGGCCAGCATTGTTACTCATCAGTCACAGACCTGGAGCTGTTTTTAGATCAATCCACATTATTATCAGAAACTTCTGGCACAAACATGTAACTCTGCCCCTTCTGTCTAAACGCTCCTGTCTTTGTCTTGTAACAGTATGATGTCATTGTACCACTTTGACATCACACCCAGATTCCTGCCTATTAAAACAAAAGTATTGTCCATGAATTGATTTTGGTCATTTCTCATGTCTGTGTTTGCAGCCAGAAATGTTTTAAAAAAAACAAAGCAACTTACAATTACAGACCGAAAGCAATTTTTACCCTTCATACTTGTGTCACCAGAGATGGACTGTTTTAAATATAAAATTGTTGAAAAATACTTACTGTATAATAGTACAGCGTCCCACGGTCAAAAATATACATCATTTGAAACAAATAATTAAATATAATTTAGTTACTGACATCCCCTTAAACTCTCCATAATATGCTACTGCATCTTTACCTCAGTAAGAGTTTTTGGTGTGTATCTACTGAGTTATACTGCTACTACTTAGCCATTCATTCACCTGTAATTGCCCAAAAATAGAATAACTGAGCTTGGAGTCTAGACAAATTGATTTCCACGTGTAATTTAACTAAACGATGAGACTGAGTTGAAGTTTCTATACAAAAATCCAGCTTGTGTAACTTATCACCACTGCCGATCTTCTGGCCTAATTTATTATGCTTCAGTCTAATAGGCTTCATGAATTAGCTCTAATTTACAAAAGATTTATTGTGACTCTTTGCCTTTGTTCATTTTCAGCCTCAAGACTCATTTTGCCTGAACTTTATAATTCGGATGATTCAGGCGCTTTCACAACTTTCCTGATAGCGCTGTATGCCACTGTGCTATTTTTGGCCTTATAGGAACACGGTGATGCTTGCTGCTAAATTGTCAACTATTGCCTGCATGTCTCTTGGTAGTCACACCCGCTTAAATATCCCAGTGGGACAAGCGTGCAGTGCGTAGTCATGGCCTGTGCCTGGTGATCTGCGTCTGTGTCCCATGCTCTGAATAATGAAGCCCAAATCTGCCCGCCGAGGCCTGGCCGCTATCTGTCAGTAAACACTCGGGAATAATGAAACGGCCGTACTGTATCGGGCGCACAAAGACACGCGCATTCGGACGCACAGTCAATTTCACACTTAAGAAGAGACAATCCAGACTGTCACGGTCGCCACGTCGACATTGAGTTCATGCGCTGTGACCGGTTTTGAAGCTTTTCGTGGAGTCCTGCGTTTGACATGACAGGAGAGTGGCGTCTCTGAAGAAGCCTTTATGACCTCTATGTGAGACGTTTTATGACAACAGAAAAGGCGTGTCTTTTTTTTTAAGCAACGCTGCGTAACCTTCTGGAGGTGGTTAGTTTTCTTGCATGATTCAATGGGAATGTAATGTTAAAACCAGACCTGGGACATTTTACTTGGTGATAGAGGAGTTTAGTGGAAGATTACGAGTCAGGTTTGTGGGGATGCAAGTCCGCTCAGGGTAAAGACACAACCAACAAAAGCATCTGAAATGAAAAACAGAAAATAATGTGTTTTTAGATGCGGCCCTTTTTCTGAATCAGTTCATTATTGTTACAATCATTTCCAATCCACTTCTTAAAGTACATTTTATAAAACAAGTTTCGAAAATGCTGCACTGAGACAAAAGCAGAGATACAGTACAAGTCTGCAATTTTTTGATATTTTTAATAAATATTTATATATATAGATAGATATATAAGTGAACTAAATATAACTTTAGATGTGTAGGATACAAAACAATTCAAATCATTCAAAAACAATGTTAATACCAATCGTGTATACATAAAAATAGGGGCTCACATTTGAATGTAAAGAGGGTGTTTTAGTCTCTTACTGTCAAATAGAGTTTTTACAGTCACTCTCTCTTACTCTCTCTTTAGAGTTTTTCCTTGTCGATGCAGGAGTCTGTTAGAGTCTTGTGAGGTCTATCAGAAAGGGCAGTGGTGATGATCCAGGACACTCAACATTCAACAACAAATAGGGACATTTATCAACACTTGGTTATCTGCCCCTTATTGACCAATACCAATAGGCAAGGCAAGGCAAGTTTATTTATATAGCACAATTCATACACAAGGCAATTCAAAGTGCTGAACAAAACAAGAAAGCATTAAAATCATAAATTATCACAGAACATTAAAAAGAAAGATAAAAATATAAAATCCCTCAGTTGTATGCACAGTTAAACAGAACTGTCTTTAACCTGGTTTTAAACATTGTCAGAGAGGAGGCCTGTCTCACATCTTCAGGAAGACTGTTCCAGATTTTAGCGGCATGAATCTGAAAAGCAGCCTCCCCATGTTTAGTTCTGACTCTGGGCACTAACAGGAGTCCAGTCCCTGTGCTCCTCAGAGTCCGGGCTGGTTCATATGGGACTAACATGTCACTAATATATTTTGGTGCGAGGCCATGGAGAGACTTGTACACAAGCAGAGCTGTTTTAAAGTCTATTCTCTGAGCCACAGGAAGCCAGTGCAGAGACCTGAGACCTGAGAATGTGTTTTCTGTTTTTTTTTCTTGTGTTTGAGCTGTTTGATTCTCTGACCTGTGTTGGAAAATCCAACCCCCTTAATAGAGTTTGACAGTTTAGTTCAATCATATTATGGTAGTGAACACGCCTGAAAGATACTTAAAGCTGTGGTACATACCTTCTTTTCCATAAACATTATGTGTGGTTTGTCCTAACAAAAAGACACATACGGTATGTCAAACAAATCAGACCATAACATGCTGTCCTCATCTTATTATAAACCATGTTATCTTTTGCAAACCTTGTTTACGCTTTAGTCTGAGAGCTGGAGTTGGGGTGGTCCTCTCTATCTGTTTCTGTTTTTAAAAAGTGGCCCCAAACTTGATGCA